AAACTCGCTCCAAGCACAGTACAAATGGAGGGGTAAGCAAACCCTAAGAACATAAAGTCAGAACAATGAGACCAGGCACAGTCCTTGCTAAGTCGAGCGCGGCCCAAGTCGAGGGTGACTCGTACGGGACACGGTTCAGGGAGGGTGCAAGCAGTCCTCGATGTATATCTATATATATATATATATATATTTAATTTTTTTTATCTTATCAAATTTGATGAATCATAGTTAAACTAAGAATGGTGAAAGCAGGGAAAACATGACTTAGATGAAAAATAACAAACTAAAATAAAATCAGATAGCCAGAACATAGCAGACATGTCAGAGACAATATTTTTAAAAAATTTATTTTGAGCCAAAATTTGGTGAAAAAGTAGCCCAAAGGCTCTAGAATAGGTATGTGGGGTCCCAGAATATTTCCGGGACCTTTGCAATTGGGCGACAAGGGTGGTGTCGCCTTTGCAGGGTGGGCGACACTGCTGGTGTCGCCCCAAAACATATTTTTGTTTTATTTTTTTTATATTTTTTTCGTATAAAAATTAATTAAATAAGACTATTTTAAACTTTTAAAATCATGAAAAAAATATAATTTTGATGAAATAAATTAAAACAGAGTAAACAGACAAAAGCATATGTTACAGATCTGTATCAAGTAAAATATTTTTGTGGTATTTTTAAAAATTTTATTGTGCTCTAAAATTTTTTGCACAGTCATAAAAAATTTCCTAGAAGAAATTTATAAAGTTTCAGAAAATTCTGAAACTTTCGAATTTTCGGAGACACGGGAGTGTCGCCCTGGATCTGGGCGGCACTGGTGGTGTCGCCCAGGCAACACAGCTGGTGTCGCCCAGATATGACAACGTTTCGGAGCACCAAAACCCTGGATCCTGATCCCCATAGATTCCTGGGACTTTTTGTGACTGATCACAGTGAAAAATAGTGAAATAAAATTGTACTTTGGCACTTGGATCAAGCTCGAAACGCCCCACGGTGGGTGCCAAACTGTTTATGATGAAAATATGAAAGATTTTCCAATTAATATATCTCAATTTTAACACCTTAAACTTATGAAAATGAAATAAATAAGATGGTAAAGAAAGTGGGACAAATCGAATTCAGATCTGAGGCCAAATCTGCTCAGAAACAAGCAGATCTACTCTAAGATCTGTGGCAGGGTCAGCATGATCCAGAGCATCCAAAATACGATTTTAAAGAAAATAATAAGATCAAAATTAAATTAAAACATTAAATATGAATAAAAAAAAAGAAAGGAAAATTATACCAAATCGGGCTGGAAGGCTCGGGACTTCCGAGCCTTTTGGGGCTCGCCCTGTATTAGAACCGGTCCCCTTTTGTCTCTCTGAATGGGATGTTTATCAGAAACTCTCTTTGGTGTGAAGGATTTGGTTTAGGGTTCTATCCTAAGGGTAGATCTGGGGTTTCTCTCAAGAGGCTAAGGCTTCCTGACGCAATTTCTAAGGTTTTCTCTCCTGTAACTCCCTCGGTTTTTCATCTCTATCTCAGGAGGAAAAACGTGACAAATGGATGACCCATTTCATAATGCCTTCGCACACACAGTTCCTTGTGCACTTTGGGGTTTTTGATGGGCCGAGGCCTTGCAAGACACGACCCTCATTTGTTCCTAGCTGGAGGGCGTTACACCACCAACCGATGACCCGTTCCATAGTGTCATACACATATATTGGGGGGCGCAACCGTCACATGTGACCCACATCCTAACTCCCGTTCTATCATGGGCAGTCAGGGAAAGATCTCAACTGCTGGCACAACTTTCTTATCATATCACATTACACTACCAACGGTTGATCCGTTGCGTAGTGCCTCATACATTTTTTATCATATCATCTTATACTACCAATGGATGACCCACTGCATAGTGCTTCACACATTTCTTATCATATCATCTTACACTACCAATGGATGACCCGCTGCATAGTGCTTCATACATTTCTTATAATATCATCTTACACTACCATTGGATGACCCATTGCATAGTGCATCACACATTTCTTATCAATCATCTTACACTACCAATGGATGACCCATTTCATAGTACTTCACACATTTCTTATCATATCATCTTACACTACCAATGGATGACCCATTGCAAAGTTCCTTATACACATATCATTTTTATCATAGTACTTGCTTTCATATTATACCAAAGCATGTACTTATTATATCAGAGCACGTGCATATCATATCATAACAGAACATGTCTTACTACATGCATCCATATCATACTATAGCAAACTTCTTTTCATAACAGAGCATATTTTCATTTCATAGCAGAATATGCCTCATTATCATGCATTCATTTCATAACAGAGCGTAATTTCATGCACACATATCATAACAACGCATGTCATACTGCATGCAATCATATCATAACAGGACATATCTCATTATCTTGCATTCATATCATAACTGAGCATGTCTTACTACATGTATTCATATCATAACAGAGCATATATCATTATCATGCATTCATATCATAACTGAGCATGTTTTACTACATGCATTCATATCATAACAGAGCATATCTCATGATCATGCATTCATATATAATAAAGCACGTCTTACTACATGCATTCATATCATAACAGTGCATATCTCATTATCCTGCATCATATTATATCTGAGCATGTCTTACTACTTGCATTCATATCATAACCGAGCATATCTCATTATCATGCATTCATTTCACACATATCATAACAGATATATGTTCATATGAAAGATCAACATGTCCAAAGCATGCTATGCATATAATCATATCATCAGGCTCATTAGCTCAAATATATCATCATGTCATTTTTCTGGTTTTTCACAGTGAACACAGTCCACTTATAAGGAATATTATGAGATAAAAATATCATTTGAACCTGAGACCACTTTATAACAATCTAAGCTCATGAAAACACAACTTTCGTGAAGCGGGTAACCCCAAATTTTAGGTTAAATTTTGCTAAACTATTTGATGTTCTTGAACAAAGCTCCTATTTTCACCGTAGAAAACCCAGGATGACATACTAATAGAAAAATGAGAATAACTTTTAAACCACAGGGAATTTAATCATTATTCCAAAACCATTTTCAAAATTATATTTATTTATCTTTTGTTTAGAAGTGGGTTAACTGCATTTTGATATGTTTTGGTTAATGAAAAGCTCCACAAAAAAATACGTAAAGTCCATGGAATTTTATTTCACAAATATGACATGCTTCAAAAAATGGTAAATAGCTTTTAAACCAAAAGGGATATTAATAAGAGGTCTCTTCCATCATAAATTCGACTCAATGAGCTACATTTTTACAAAATTTCATGACTTAAGGAGATATATATATATATATATCTAGGATCCTCAAACAGTTTCTCAAACCAAGGCCACAGTTCTAGAAAATATAGCACATTCTACCATGATTTCAGTAACATACATCCACACCCATATTCACACCCATATTCATTCTTGAATTTCATGCTTTGATAAGCTAAGTAAACATGCATCAATCTAAAGCATAAAAACATGGAAACTAGATTCACTTACATGCACCAAAAAGAAACTCCAAGGTTCTTCACAATTTTCACCACATGCCAAGCTCCAAAAGGTGGGTTCAAGCTCAATAAAGTAAGGCTGGGAGGGTCTCTAAGTCTTAATGTCTTAATGCTAGAGAGGGAGAACATGGGTGAGAGAGGGAAGTGAGAAGAGAGAGAGGGAAAATCAATGTGAGAGGTGAGAAGGGAGTATAAGTAAGAATGCGTGGGGGTAGCATGCAATTGACAAGTGGCACATAAGAGGCATACGTGAGGAGAGAGGGGGGGGAGCAATCATGGGTGATGTAATCATGGGATGGTAGCATGCATGTGCCATATGACACTCATGGATGAAGAGAGAGGGCATGTGAGAGGAGAGAGAGAGCATGCGCAGTCATTGTATGGGGGCAATCATGTTGTAATCATGTGTATTGGAATGCATGTACCTGCGTTGGGATGCACAATAAAAAATTGTGGGTTACAGATCAGGGCTTTCTTACGGTAGCTAGAATTTGAGCAATTTTTACCATCAGAAATTTCGTGATCCCTACAATAATACAGTATCACTCAAAACACCATACAGAGGTTATATAACAAACCGAAAAGAACACTGAGATTAGCATTAATCAGAAACGATTCAAGAAGTAACCAAGATCAACGGCCGAAAAATTTCCAAACCTTTCATCATCCCCCCCCATAAAAAGGATTTAGTCCTCTAAGTCATACATATGTTATTCAAATAAATGGGGGTACTTTTCCCCGATCTTAGCTTCTCATTTCCATGTCGACTCTTCCCTCGAATAGTACTGCTACAAGACACAGACCAGAGAGATTACCTTATTCCATAATATCTGCACCCTTCCATCAGTATCAGAACTGGCTGCTCAATGAAGGTCAAGTCTTCTCCTATTGGTACAGGTTCATAGCTCATAACATGGGACGGGTCTAGCTGTTACTTCCTTACTTGAGTACAACTTCAATTTTAGAAGGGTCAACCGCTACTTGATCCTTAGAAACAATGTGCCCAAGAGAGACCACTACAAATCTATCCAAAAAAGATATGAATATCCTATTCATCAGGTCCATGAAAACAACCGGGGATTTCGTTAATCCAAATAGTATCACTAAAAACTCATAGTGACCATATCAGGTTCTGAATGCAGTCATGAGAACATCTCCCTCCTTGACACACAATTGATAATTACCCGTTCGGAGATCAATCTTAGAGAACATTTGAGCCCCTCTAGGCTGGTCCAAGAGGTCATCAATCTTAGGTAAGGGTACTTGTTTTTCACTGTCACTTGATTCAACTGCCTATATTCGATGTAAAGCCTCATGGACTCATCCTTCTTCTTCACAAAAAGGATCGGTGCACCCCAAGGTGATACACTCGATCAAATAAACCCCTTCTCTAACAACTCTTGCAATTGTATTGTCAGCTCCATCAATTCTGGTGGTGCCATCTGATATGGGCTTTAGAGATGGGAGCAGTGTCCGGGGTTAAGTCTGTCTCAAACTCTATCTTCCTTACTGCGGACAAAGAGGTAAACTCCTTGAGAAAAAACTCAGGGTATTCTCTAACCATTGGGACCTCTTTCAGCTTGGACTGGACACCCCAATTCTCTACCACATAGACTAAATACCTGACACACTTTCTAGCCAAAAGACGTTGCGCCCTAAGGGCAGAAACAAAGTGAAGAGGGGAAGCATCTTTAATACCAACAAAGTGCAGCTCAGGCTCGGTCAGGGGTCTAAAGGTCACATTCTTATCATAACAGTCAACAGTGGCAATGTGTGTGCACAACCAGTCCCTTCCCAAAATAACATCAAAATCCTGAATATCTAAAAGTATAAAGTCTATGGGTAGGACACACCTTTCAAGAAAAAACCCACACTGTTTGTATACCATATCAGTCTCCATAGAGTCCCCCATAAGTGTAAACACTGCTAAAGTAAAATCAAGAAGTGTAGGTTCAACATTTAAATGACATGCAAAATAAGGTGCAACAACAGAATGAGAAGAACCAGGGTCTATCAAGATTTAGCATCTCTATCACAAACAAAGAGCTTACCCCGGATCACTGAGATAGAAGCCTTGACCTCCTACTCCGTAAGTGCAAACACCTGACCCTGAGTCTTCGGTCTGTTCTCTGGCTTCGTCACAGGGCAGTCCTTGATCAGGTGGCCAGGCTTGCCACACTCATAACACGTTCTCATCTTCTTTTGGCACTCAGTTGTAGAGTGGTTGCTCCGCCCATAGTACAAGCATGCTGGGCACTGGTTCTCCCTCACATCACTTGAGAAAGTCTTCTGGGCCTTCATGTTGCCCTGATTAATCCTTCCCCTAAAATTTCTCTTAGTCCCAAAATTATCGGATGGTGGGGGCCTTACTCTCCCTTCCTTCCTCAGCTGGAACTCCTCAAAATCCTTCTCAATTTTCGTAGCTAGGTCCATCAATGGGGAGAATGTCTTAAGATTAGCTGACATCACTCCCCCTCGGATATCTGGCTTAAGGCCCCTCTCAAATTTGCTCGCCTTATGCGCCTCTGTATTGATGATATGTGGCGCACAGCGGAAGAGCTCTACAAATTTGGCTGCATACTTCTCTACCGACAGTCTCCGTTGTTGCAGCTCAATAAATTCAACTTCTTTCCTCTCTCAGATAGAGTCAGTGAAATACTTCTCATTAATGTCACTAGGAAGTTCTCCCAGGTGGCAGCAATCTCAGTCTCCATCCAAGACTGTTTCACGGAACTCCACCAATGCTCAACATCCCCTACCATCATAAAGGTATCCAATATAACTTTTTTCTCATCTGAACAATGTAAAATTTCAAAGATCTTCTCTACTTGCCTCATCCATCTTTTAGCCTTTTCTACTCCTCCATGCCCAAAGAATGCTAGAGGCGCAAGTATCTTAAATCTTTCAATCAACCCACTATCTGCCTGGTCTGGGGCAGAGGCAGCCGGAGCCAGCATATAATCCTTCTTAACTTGATTCATAGCCCTAAGTGACCTAAACAATTCATCAAAGCCTTCGTGTTCCCATCAGTCATGCTTGAACTGTTGGTACGAGTCCTCGACATCTAACCTAGTACAGAAACACCAAGTTACTAGCCTATCCAAATCCTACCCTAAAGACGCCTCTAAGGCTCTCTAGGCCAAAAATCCTATCCTGGCTGCTTTGATACCATAAACTGTCATAACCTCACCCCCAACTACGTACCGCACACGCTAGAGGGCAATAAGAGGGTTCGCGACCACATATAGCGAATGCCACACATGTGGGAGTGCACTCAATGCTTTGAAAAGAAGGAATCAAAGCAAACCACGAAAGAAAAACAAAACTCCAACAACACACAACCACCAAAGAGCCGGACAAACAAGTTCCAAGCAATATAAAAGTGCTCCAAAGTATTACAAGAGGCTAAGGCACCAAAGGGCCAACAACATTACATATTTTCAATACAAAGAGAAGCTATATGGCCAAAAGGCCATATAAAACATACAATAAAGAAGAAGCTTCCACAAGAAGTATAGGGCTCCAACCGCCATCCACGATCATCAAACCGCTCATCCACAGCCTGCGGGCTATCGCTCTATATAGATGAAAGTTAAAGGAGTGAGCTATAAATCTTAGTAAGTAGATCAAGGTGCCATGCATTCTTACCTACACACAGTAACTCATAACTATACTCAAGGTTCATGCAAGTCTTACAAATATGGAGCCATGTATCACAATTATATTTAGCAATGTGTCGTGAGCGATTCCTTTCATGGTGCAGCAATAACAAATCAGATATCATATCATTCTAGTATGGGCATTAAAACAAATCAACACAATCAGGCAATCATATATATATCTAGCATAAACAATTCTAATATCACCTACTCTCGAAGTAGAAGCCCTATCTAGTAGGCCAAGTCAATCCCATAGCTTAGGACTTCTACCATCACTCAGGAAGGAAAACACCACAAATAGATGACTCATTTTGTAATGTCTTCACACACACACACAGTCCCCAGCGCGCTTTGGGGCTTCTGATATACTGAGGCCTTGCAATACCCCTCATTTGTTCTATAGTTGGAGAGCGTTACACCACAAACAGATGACCCGTTGTGTAGTGCTATACACATATATTAGGGGGCGTGACCCTCTCATGTGACTCACATCCTAACTCTCGTCCTATCATGGAGAGTCAGGGAAAGATCTTAACTGCTGACACAATTTTCTTATTATATCATATTATAGTACCAACGGATGACCCATTGCATAGTGCTTCATACATTTCTTATTATATCATCTTACACTACCAATGGATGACCTATTGCATAGTACTTCACATATTTCTTATCATATCATCTTACACTACCAATGGATGACCCATTATATAGTGCTTCACACATTTCTTATCATATCATCTTACACTACCAATGGATGACCCATTGCATAGTGCTTCACACATTTCTTATCATATCATCTTACACTATCAGCGATGACCCATTGCATAGTACCTTATAGACATTCTTATCATATCATCTTACACTACCAATGGATGACCCATTGCATAGTGCCTTATACACATATCATTTCATCGTAATGCTTGCTTTCATATCATACCAGAGCATGTACATATCATATCAGAGCATGTGCATATCATATCATATTAGAAAATGTCTTACTACATGCATCCAATCATAACAGATCATACTTCATTTCATAATAGAGAATATTTTCATTTCATAAGAGAATATGCCTCATTATTATGCATTCATTTCATAACAGAGCCTGCTTTCATGCACACATATCATAACAGAGCATGTCATACTACATGCATTCATATCATAACATAGCATATCTCATAATCATGCATTCATATCATAACTGAGCATGTCTTACTACATGACATGCATTCATATCATAACAAAGCATATCTCATTATCATGCATTCATATCATAACTAAGCATGTCTTACTACATGCATTCACATCATAACAGAGCATATCTCATTATCATGCATTCATATCATAATTAAGCATGGCTTACTACATGCATCATAACGGAGCATATCTCATTATCATGCATTCATATCATAACTAAGCATGTCTTACTACATGCACTTGTATCATAACAGAGCATATCTCATTATCATGCATTCATTTCACATTAGCAATAGATTAACATGCTCACATATCATAACAGATACAGGTTCATATGAAATATCAATATGTCCAAAGCATGCTATGCATATAATCATATCATCAGGTTTTTCACAGTGAACATGTCATTTTTCCAGTTTTTCACAGTGAACACAGTCCACTTATAAAGGCATATCATGAGATAAAAATATCATTTGGACCTGAGATTACTTTTATAATTATCTAGGCTCATGAAAAAAAGAAATTTGTGAAGGGGGTATCCCCAAATTTTTGATTAAAGTATGCCAAACTGTTTGATGTTCTTGAACAAAGCTCCTGTTTTTTGCAGAAAACCCAGGATGACATACTCATAGGAAAATGGGAATAACTTTTAAACTACAAGGAATTTATTCATTATTCCATAACCTTTTTCAAAATATATTCATTTATCTTTCATTTAGAATGGTTTGACCTCATTCTGATATGTTTTGGTCAGTAAAAAGCTCCACAAAAAAATATGTAAAATCCCTAAAATTTTATTTCACAAATTTTACATGCTTCAATTAATGATAAATACCTGTTAAACCAAAAGGGATTTAACAAGAGGTCTTTTCCATTATAAATTAGACTCAATGAGCTACCTTTTCACTAAATTTCATGATCTAATGAGATATATAAGATGCTCAAATAGTTTATCAAACTGGAGCCACAGTTCTAGAAAACTATGCACATTCTAGCAGAATTTCAGTAACAAATATCCACACCCATATTCACACCCTTATTCACTCTTGAATTTCATACTTTGATAAGCTAAGTAAATATGCATCAATCTAAAACATGAAAATATAGAAACCAGATCCAGTTACATGCACCAAAAGAATTTGCAAAGTTCTTCACAATTTTCACCGCACATGCCAAGCTCCAAAAGATGGGTTCAAGCTCAATGAACTAAAGATGGGAAGGGTCTCAAAGTCTTAAGGTCTTAAGGCTAGAGAGGGAGAATGTGGGTGAGAGAGGGAAGTGAGAAGAGAGAGAGGAAAAATCAATGTGAGAGGTGAGAAGGGGGTACATGTACGCAAGGGTGGGGGGGTAGCATGGAATTGACACGTGGCACATAAAAGGCATGCATGAGGAGAGAGAGGGGGGGGCAATCATGGGATGGTGGCATGCATGTGCCACATCACACTCATGCATGAAGAGAGAGGGCATGTGAGAGGAGAGAGAAAGCATGTGCAATCATTGTAATGGGGGCAGCAATCATGTTGTAATCATGTGCATTGGGATGCATGTACATGCATTGGGATGTGCAACAGAAAATTTTGGGGTACAGATCAGGGCTTTCTGATGGTAGTTCGGATTTGAGCGATTTTCATACCGTCGGAAAGCTCACGACCCCTACAATAATACAGTATCACTCAAAACACTATACAAATTTTATACAACAAATCGAAAAGAAGATTGAGATTAGCATTAATCGGAAACTATTCAAGATGTAACCAGGATCAACGACCAAAAATGTTTCGGAGCATACAAGTCCCCTTCTTGGCAGTCTCATTCTACTGATGCACGGGCAGAGTCAATGAGCTCGGGCAATGTGAAATACCCGGGGGTAAGGAGTTTTGTAGGTGGCTGCGGAGGTTGAGGGCCATCGGTTGGAGGGATGGAGTAGCCGGTAGTCGCTAGTGGCATCCTCTCCTCTCGGATCTTGCACTGAGGGCCGACTATTGTGCACATGGAGCTAGGAGTGAAGAGGATGGTGCTCGAAGGGAACTTCTTCAAGTATCATTCAGTGGGTGGCATGAAAGCAGTGGGCAGAGCGATGAACGTCCATCCCTCTTTATAGCCAGCAATATTCTTGGATGTGCATGTTTGTGTGTGGTTCAGAGTGATGTTTGGGGTGGCTGCAGGGCCAACCCCTCTTAAGGTGAGGGGCGGAGTACCTGCAGTACCCGCCCGTTTAGTTGACGGAACCTTCGAGCCCTCTACATGCATGGGCATTTGTTTATGGGACTTTTGATAGCCTCGAAAGTCTTGTGCCTATCAAGGGTTAGGCTTTGGGCTGCACCGAGCTATAGAATTAGCATGCATGGCGCAGGTGGCATGGGAGTCACCGGTACTACATCCGGGTCAGAAGAGACCCTTAGTGGTTTGGGAGATTGGGGAAGGTTGCCACCTGCCCCGATTCATTATTATTACAGTTGGACTGTTAAGAATGTTATAGGTATATGCACATGTGGTCAAGTAGCCGTGCAGGCTGGCAAAGAAGCCACCAATAGGTGGTGCGTATATGGGGGTGCTCGTCAGCTACAAGGTGCTTTAATGAGGGGGCAGCCATAACGCCGCCAATGCAGTGGGTGTTAGGGGGTTTTCCCTTAGCACTGGAGGAGGAGGGGCGAGGGGCTTGAGGCCCCATGCCCTGAACTTTCCTGTGCGAGACCGGGATAGCAGGGTCAGCAAGGCCGCACAAGGAACATGTGGGGGAGATAGTACCGAATGGTCTGCTCACCCCTAGTGAGAGTGCTGGTATGGGGGTATAGAAATCCCCAACCTGGATGGAGGGACAAAGGAATCCCATATCAATATTAGTGAAAGGAGAAAGAGAGGTTGATACCTAAAGATGGCTCGAGCCAACGGTAGGGTGACGTGTCCCCAGTGGAGTCGCCAGTTGACATCTGTGGGGTCCTGATTTCCCTTGGGTCAGGAGGAGAAATCCCTCTCTTGAACAATGGCGGAGGTTTGACAGGTGTACTGCGTGCGGGCCCTCCTTGGGGAAAGGTGCTGACGGTGAGAGAGATTTTGTGACTGGAGCACGGACACTCTTTACACCGCCTGGGGCGGTCGAGGACATGCCTGGGCGGATAGCC